CTCTCTGAGGCTTTCTCTCTTATGCATACACACACATATACACATTCCCATTCCCTCTCTCTCTCTCTCTCTCACACACACACACACACACACACACACAGTCACACACACACACGGCAATCAGCAGAGCATCCCGTTGCGCAATCATGCATGTATGTGTCGCAAGCTCACTGTGTGAGATGGATGTCCGTACGCGTAGCCTAGCGGCTCCTCATATGGAACCGGTCGTGTAGCCACGGCCTTATTTTATTACTTTCAATATCAGCAGATACAAGGATTTTTTTTAACAAAATATAAATAACGTGCAGTGAAGGGATGGCAGGCGGCTACATTGGCAATTGAATAAACAAAACAACCTGTCAGATGAATTCAGTTCAGGTTCTTGGCTATTCATATTGTACTGAATCATATATGATACTGTACAGTACTGTAATAGAACATTTATGATAAATTTCCAGTTAAATTAGGATTGGCTATGCTTATTCGTTTATTTATTTATTTATTGACGTTCCATTACTATAGAGTGGCATTAGTAAAAGTACCAACAACATGGCCATAAGCTCATTCACACACGTCATAGGGGCCTACAGTTAGTGAGTTACAGACAATGCAGTAAAAAGTGCTAGCCACCTAAGCCTATAGTCATGATTAGGGAGCGGGTTAGCTCTAGAACTATAGCCCTACAGGCCTGTGGCAGAGCAAAGGGCTATATATAGTTTTAGAGCTAGGAGGTGAGGCCCAGGATGTGTTAGTGTTACGAGGTTCGTGATGGTTTATGGTTTTTAATCATAATTTTAATTCGAATCAACTACAGGCGTCGAATGTTGACTTAAGCCTAGCTCTACCCTAACCCTATATATAGGATCTAGTGAATCCTCTGAACAAATTCTAAGCTCTGGACTAAACCTGGACTAACCTCTGGACTAAACCTGGCTCTCAACATTGGAGACTGTGTATCTCCCGTGGCTCGGATGACCACGTAAAATGGTGGTCCCGTCGCCAGTAATAAGGCCAATGGTGACGTAAAAGAACCATTGAGGGCCCAAAAATACTCTGGCTGTGACCACCCTCAGTGCCATTTGGCTAAAAGGCTAACTACCTGGCTTTACCCATGCTAGGTCACACCACATGGCTATAGCTATAGCCCTGGACGTTTATTCCTTACGGACTGTCCAGTATAGAAGTAGAAGTAGAAGTAGAAGTAGAAGTAGAAGTAAGCTCATTAATGACTAACCAGAGCCATAAAGTAGAATTTTAGTTGGAAAAATTACAAATGACAAAAAAGAGCCACCACGGGCTCTGAAGGATATTCTCATAAAATGGTTACGTTTCACCATATGTGGAATTTAATGCTCTTCAGCTTGATTTCCCATCTCTCTGTAGAGTTGGTATTCGTAAGTTGTTTCTGACTGCTGCCGTGTTCGTTATGTTTATGCCAAGCATGTGTATATTCACTTGAGGGGTTCCGCAGTGTTTACAAATTACATCCAATATCTACTCTCGTGTCAGATAAAGCTGTGATATGTGAAGCAATGACGAAATCCGTAGTTCGATCACCTCTTGAGTGCGAGTCGATATTGTTCAAGAGATTTTATTTCCATTTTTGATTGCTAGTATTTGTTTGATGTTTATTGCTATATGACCCTCCGGCAGCACTCACAATGCTGTATGATAGAGCCAGTGGCGCCCGCAGATAGAAGCACTGGAAACACAGTGCTTCCAGTAAATTTTGGGTTAAATAATTTTGTTCCTACATTTCCTAAATCTCTCTCGCAAGACTCACCAGATTGCATCTCCAGACGTCTATCATTCAAAAATTTTGGGGGCATGCCCCCAGACCCCCCTAGCATGCAACGCGCCGACGGCGCTTGCTTTTTATTATCACTGAGGATTTTATCTTTCTGTGCTTCTATTTTCTTAAGACCTGTGGGCACCAGTGGATAGAGCTACACATTGTCATGCCCCTGCACTGTCTGTAGGCCAGCAATCAACTGTGTTTATTAATGAAAGATTGTGAACATTGTGTTAATTAAGGGTTTCACAACAGAAGTGAAGTCTGAAGAAAGGAGATGGCGCATCAGGTACAATGTTCAGTGAACTATATTTGGTCTACTGGAGACATTCTAGGACAAGGTTCAACAGGAGTTGTCTATCGTGGCTACCAGAAGGTTTGTATTGTTTATAGCTCCATAATAATTAATAACAATATTGTGTACACAAAATGTACAACTCCCAATTCATAAAGATTAGCAGTACTGGTGCGATGGTGATCAACAACAACAATAGTACTTTCAGAAATAGCTATGATATTTCAATAGACAAAAGTTGTCCAGATAGTCACCCTGACTTTTATTGCTTACAGATGACGGGTGACCCTGTTGCAGTGAAAACATTTAACTCGGGCAGTCACCTTCGCACGCAGGAGGTACAGATGAGAGAGTTTGAAATTATTAGGAAGGTCAACCACAAGAACGTCGTACGTCTTCTGTCCATCGAGAAGGAGGTTGGTATTGCAGCGTAATTGCGATAAAACCAAGACGTGCAATGGTCGTTCATTACGACTAAATTTACGAGCAGAGCGATGCTGGTATTTTATTCTGCGAGTTTTTTAATATTTTATTGTTAGGGCCGTCAAGATAGATCAGTTTATACGATTATCACACATGCACACTAAAATGTTGAGTTGCAGCATATAATTGCGACTACAGACATAAAGGATATAGGCCACTTACATTATACTTTTGCTATAAGGAGTACCATCTGCCCTATGACTGACCAACCCCAGCGTTATCCCTGCAATGATTTGTTTCTCAACCTGCCAGTTGTTTGGTTTTCCCCCATGCCTCCCAAAGTATGTATCACGAAAGTCTGGAAAGTCAGAAGTTGTGAACTTTGCCGTTTTCACAGCTATTTTGTTTCGTAATTTTTGTAGCCATATTGTTTTTTTTTCCAGCGCATGGTTGGAGACAGGGTCATAGTCATGGAGCTCTGCGGGGGAGGCAGTCTGCATAGCATGCTTGAGGTTCCTGAAAATGCCTTTGGATTGCCAGAGGAAGAATTTCTGCTGGTTCTTGAGCACATAGGTAAGAAGATTGCTTTTTGTAGCTGTAATAGCAGTGTGGTGAGCCGTTAGTGCAGCTGGTTTGTCCACTTAAACAACTGGATACGTAACAGGAACATCTCTATATCAAACATCGATCGATCTGTGATCATAGTTTATTGAGAAGTTAAAGGAAATGTTTTATTTAACATGGTCATAGACCACAAGCCAAATACCTGGCTCATCGTACTTTTTGTACATTTATCTTTTGTAGTTATCTAGCTGCAGAATCAATTTAGGCACATATTGTTTGTAATGTGTGCATTAATAATAACCTAAATAAACAAATAAACAATATAGGTACAAAAAATGACGGGTTTGAATGTTAGTGGGTGGTTATTGACTGGCAATGTTGTCAAATTGTAGCTGCAGCCATGAAACACCTGAGGGACCACAACCTTGTACATCGTGACTTAAAACCTGGGAACATCATGCGTATGATCGGCAATGATGGCAGGTTGGTGGACAAAGTTACTCTTTACCCTGGCTCCTTCTACTGAAACGACAATGGCTTTACAATGTTGCATGGTGCTATGAATGTGACACAATTACCCGACAATTTTAGTCTAGAGTAATCTTTTTTTCACGTCGATATTTTGTCATGGTTGAGTTGTGCACAAGGTTAAAATAGTCCTGACACTATTATTGCATTTCCAACTTGCTGAACAGAAACCCTTTACTTATAGGTCCATATATAAGTTGGTTGACTTTGGCGCGGCGAGAGAGCTAGAGGATGAAGAGCACTTTGTCTCTCTCTATGGAACAGAGGAATACCTGGTGAGTGTGATTGAATGTGTTTATAGCCATTGTAAGATTTATACCAAAACTCACGCGCCTGGTAGAGTGTTGAGAGAGTGGGAGTATGCTTAAGCTACAAACTGCAAGCAAAGGTGGTGATTTCGTTTGGTCTGTATACCATCTCTACCAAACATATACCATCTCTGCCAACGTAATACCATCTCTGCCAAGCAGACTACTATCTCTACCAAGCTACATATTATTTCTACCAAGCTACATACCATATCTACCAATGTACCATCTGCCAAGCTATGTACACTCAGTCATGTTACAAACAATCTCTGGCAGCTGTGCCCTGCATACGTTTTCATCCTAGACCTCTACTTTCCATAGATGCTGTGAGCCAGTGGTATGGTTGCTAATTGTCATCATTTATGTTTTACTAGCATCTATGTTAATTAATTAATAATTATAGATATATTGCTTTGCATTAATTGCGTTTATGTATACTTACTATTTAGGAACTTTTATATTCGTAAAAGTAGCTTATTCTTTACGCGTATTCCTCATAAACGGATTCTTTATCAAAGGGTACTGCAGCAAAGTTTGGCTTAAATGGAAATAAACCATGACAGTTAGCTTTGCACTGCGTTTAGTTATTATGCGTGACTGCATGCTCACTCATGTTGCAGCACCCTGACATGTATGAGCGAGCGTTGCTAAGGAAATGCAAGGACAAGACATTCGGTGTTTCCGTTGATCTGTGGAGTATTGGAGTGACACTGTACCACGTGGCCACAGGAGCGCTCCCGTTCCGACCATACGGTGGCCGTGCCAACCAGGAAACCATGTAAGATCCTGCTGAGGGTTTACTAAGAGTGAGCGTGAATGGTACCGGTATTGCTCTTTGCATTAAGGATCCATTGCTCTACAAAATACACTGGTATGAAAACACCAAGTGGGCACTACTATCTGCTATTCATATTAATAGTGTAAATAGGGTGTGCAAATTTTGGTTTAACTTTCCTCCCTTGAACCTAACTCTTATTTCTTTTCTTGTCGTATATGCATTTTGTATATATTTTCGTGTACATGTAATTACTGCTCATAGGGTCTATGTCTCCCAGGGTACTGGCAAAACGTACCCTGGGTACGGTCCGGTATATACCGGAACGTACCCTGGTAACTATCTGATATGGTTAGGGTTAGGGTTAGGGAGTAGGCGTAGGCGACTCCCTAGACTCGTTAGTGGAGTAGGCGAGGTACGATAGGCGAGGTAGATAGTTACCATGGTACATTCCGGTATACCGGACCGTACCCAGGTTGGTACGTTCCGGCAGTACCCTGGGGGACATAGACTCTCTCAGCGTAATTTCTAGTGTGGACTGATGGAGCTCACTAGAACATTTATAATCTCTCTTGTGAGACCATGTGCTTTGTGGTCAGTGTACTTGTGCATTGGTCTGTTGCATGGTGCAATTGATTTATCAGCATTTATGAAAAGGGCAGTATAGATTTTGTGGGAGCATAAGATCTGAAAAGGGGTAAAGTCTTCCCTATAATTACATGAGGAAAAGAATATAATCATATGAAAAATTAAAAACCCTATAATAAATGAATGTCTCCGTTTAACTTTATTATTTGGCATTTTTTGGTGTTGACTCGCGTTGTTGTGTGCTCGTAGGCACACGATCACCAGCAGCAAGGCAACAGGTGTCATCTCTGGCGTGCAGCACAAGGAGGGAGGCGAGATAGAGTGGAGCCAACGACTGCCAGACACCTGCCAACTATCAGGGTGAGTGTGAGACGCAACGTTGCACGATGTTGCATCACTGTGACACATAGCATTGCCTCGCTACAACGTACAACATTGCCTCGCTACAACGTACAACATTGCCTCGCTACAACGTACAACATTGCCTCGCTACAACGTACAACATTGCCTCGCTACAACGTACAAACATTGCCGGTCGGCTACAGACGTAAACATTGCGGTCGGTAGCAACGTACAGTGTGATGCCTGCGCTAGCAACCCGTACATTATTGCTCCGCTACAACGTACAGACATTGCCCAGCGCTACAACGACAACAGTTGCCCGTCGCAGCAACGTACAAGCATTGCCTCGCTACAACGTACAACATTGCCTCGCTAAAACGTACAACATTGCCTCGCTACAACGTACAACATTGCCATGACAATGGTAAAAATTTTGGCATCGCTTGAGTGGCAGTTATACGGCCAAACAAATTTTTAAAGGAATGATTTCGAAATCATGGCTTAAACACAAAATGTGGGAAGAAATATAGTGAAATGTAGTCTCGCCTAATAGCAGACATGTTACTTATCACACCAACTTGAAAAACACTAAGAATTCATGCTGTTATAGCATAGAAAATTGGAATCGAACACATCGTAACACCATGGCATATTTGATTATAGCGACAGTTAATTTGCAAATGGCACCTTTAAAACAAGTGGCACCTTTAAAACAAAATAATGTACCTAATTTAAATAAAATGGCATATGATTCTGTGTAGTGAACTTGGTGCGATTTTTTAATTATTTATCCCTAGCCGATATCTCGTGCTATCGTGAGATAGTCCGAGATTCACAAGAACTGGCGGCAGAAATTCAAACGAGTAATCAAAATTCGAATCGTGCATGTTTTGGTGAATATAGCTAAGTAAGGAGGTTCTAAAACATGTTCACGTTACTCTACTACAGTTTTTTTTGTTACTCAAGCACTAATGGTAAATAGCGTAAAAGTGGGGAAAACATGGGACCAGTCTGAAATTATTTTTGAAATCCTTACTTTAAAAAACAGCCACCTGTCCATAGATGCTAATTTTGCCATCTCCCTTTAGCGAATACTGCAGCGGTGACCGTACTTATTTAAGAGCTGATTTTTACCGAGTTATTGCAAGATAGCAGCACAGCTAACACCGCGCGGTGGATCTTGGCAGGGGACTTCAGGCACTCGTCTTGCCCCTGCTGGCTAAGCTGCTCGAGGCACGCCCGACGCTCGAATGGAAATTTGACGCATTCTTCGAGACGGTAAACCTAATCGTCGGCAAGATGTCGCTGGACATCTTTGAGATGGGCGCCTGTCGATTTCTGAAGGTCTACATTGAACCGGACGCGAGGTGAGGGTGCAAAGAGCCAAGTGTGTGCCAGACTAAAACGTGTGAACTGATGCTAGTGCGTGCGTGCGTGCGTGCGTGCGTGTGTTCGTCCATGCCCCTTATTTTTCCTTTGTCTACCCTCCCTCCCATGCATTTCTACCTCTCTTGCCCTCCCTCCATCACCCTCCCCCTGTACCCTCCTACCTATCTGCCCTTTACTTCACTCTCTCTTTCCCTGTGCCTTCCTTCCCCATGCTTTCCCTCCCCAGTTCCTTAATTGACTCCTCACCCACTTCCCCTCTCCGTATCCCTTTCCCTTCATCCTCTCTATTCCTCAACACTACCTTCCTTCTGTCTTGCTTTCTTCCATCCCGTGCCTCACCCCATTCATCATTCTACCATCTCTTCTAGGAAATCCTGCATTCATACCTTCCTGTCTACTTCTCTACCTCTTATTTGTTCAATTTTTTGCTCTCTTTCTTTGCTCGCTTCCCCTCTGACTGTATGTCTTGCTGACTTGAAATTAGTTAAATACATTTTCTATTAATTAAGCCACTGTTATGAAATTTTAGGCTAGAAACCCTGAAGGAGCACATTGACGCACAAACTACAATCCCCTCAGACCAACAGCTGTTGATTCACGACAACAGACTCCTGCGTGACCTCGTGACCTCTGACTCATCCGTCTCGTCCTACCCACAATGCAGTGAGAGCAACCCATTAGTCGTCTATGACCTGCGGATAGACTTGCCACCGGAACGTCTGTCCGATCTTCATATTCGTGAGTATAGCAAAAGATGTATTTGCTAGCAAAGAGATAATGCAATCCAATTGAATATCAGATTATAGACACTTCTAGAAAAATAACTTGTTAAATAATATCTTGGAAATGAATCTGTTTCAGAAATAGATATTCCCTGTCTCTTTAGAATTTTGCCAATAATTTCAGTAGATAACAGCAAAATTACTCTGTTGGATCCATGGCAGTGCCAACATGCTCCAGCAACAGTTTAGAACAGAATAGTCCTGCTGCTAACTAAATGCTTGTGTAATGTCGTTAACTTATCGCTTCGATATTCTCTGCCAACCTGTCCATTTCAGCCAGCATTTCTACGTTCCATGAGGAGACTGTGCTGGATGCTGACTATGTCTCTGCTAGGCAGATGAGCGCACTCGCTTGCTTCGCTCGTGTCGCGACTGAACGCTGCCTTCGTCAGCAGAACCTGCTGCGCGAGGGCAGCGTCATGTTGATGTAAGTGCAACTGTCTTCAAAAAAAGCCCACAATCCGTCACACGCTTGCCCAAATGTAAAATGCACCCGTAGTTATAATAGCGTACTATTATGTACGGTTAGTATTACAATATATCATATCTATTATAGTTATTATAATATATATGGCTGTCATCGTATGTGCTGTGTTGCGCCGTGGGGGTGTGAATGATGCAGCATTGTGTTTAGTAGATAAGCCCATTTTGCATTTCGACTACACATACTCTCTAACTATGTTTCATAACTAAGGACCCATTGTTATAGCCATTGTAAAGTTACATGTAAAGTTATTGCTGTGATAATACTTGCGACTAATGTTAAGATGCGAGAATAGCATTGACAGAAACACATCGCATCTATTGAGAAATCTTACAATAATGGGAGCTTTGCTGTCGTAAGGCCATTTAGTCATTATTTACTAATCTATCCTGGAATGCATGGAAATGGCAGGAGGTTGTAAGGCAGTCATAACTGTTGTCTCATATCCGTGGGTTTGCATTTTTCAGGGTCATTCTCACGGTCATGCTGAGAGAGGCAGTTGAAAACCTGAAGTACTTTACCGAAATGTGCAAGTGTTTGGAGAAGAGGATTGATCAATTCATGAGCAGGTGGAGCAGATGCATTGATAAGCAAAGATGAACATTTGCACATTAGCGGATAGCTAAACCCAAGCTTTACCACCACTTAAAATAATTTGTATTGTTCAGTGTTAATTAGAAGTTCATTTTTAATTAGTAGGAATCGCAAAATATGCCGGTTACCATTTATTTTTGAGAACCACTTGCACGTTTGCATGTGCTTAATCTTGTCTTTATATATGATGTCAATTGTCTTTTCATATGTATCTTTTCACTTTATGAGAATTGAAGAGTGTGCTTATGCACGTGAGGGACTGCATTGGTGGCTTCTTTTCTTCTCGGCTTTAATTGCTATCGCATATATTGTTAATCTAGTCACAAGAGGACTCTGTGTGTCCTTGAAACAACATACAATGTCAGCAATACCAACGACCGCGATTCGACCACAAGGAGTCTCACCGACATTGTCTATGGCAAGAAACAGAGTGCCATGACAGTAAGTGGGATTGATGAGAAATGGTCTAAAGACTAGCATCTGGACCAGCGAAAGCCAACGAGAGAGAAAGAAAGAGTGGAGGCGAGAGAATGAGAGAGAAAGACAGTGAAAGAGCAAGGGGGAGGAAGGGAGAGGGTGAGAGTGTGAGAGACACTACGAGAGAGAAAAAGGGCAGAAGAGGAAGGAGGAGAGAGAGAAAAGGGAAGAGAAGGGAGAAAGGGGAAAGAGTGAGAGAGAGAGAGAGACAGTGGTGGGAGAGAAGAGAGAGGAGAGAGGGCAGAGAGAGAGAGAGACAGGGGTGAGAGAGAATAGAGATGAGAGAGGAGGAGAGAGAGATAGGGGTGAGAGAGCAGAGAGAGGAGAGAGGGAGTGAGAGAGAGACAGGGGTGGGAGAAAAGAGAGAGGAGAGGAGAGAGGGGGGGGGAGAGAGGTGCTCTATGAGAGAATATCATGCTACCATTATTCATGTATTTTCCTCTGCAGTTAATAACGAACATGGGGCAGCTAAACGAAAAAGTGGAAAGTATGAAGAGCCAGCTCCTGGAGGGTAATGCCCTTCAGCAGTCGTGGCAAACTGAAACGATGCCAGCACCAGTAAAAAACGGGTGAGTCGAGTGGCAGTAATTCAGTAACGAATTATGTCATTTGTCAGATAGTCCAGATGGACTAATATTTGTTACTGGGTCCTATCGGTTGTCGAGTTGGTAATGCAATATCCTAGATTCGTGAATGGGAAATTTAGTACTTTTATTTTACGTTTATTTTTATAATAGTCATTTGATTAGTACTGTGACCGTGGCTGAATTAATACGTTTATTCCCATTTTTGAAGCGTACCAGAACTAGAAATAATCATCAAAGAAGCGAGTCCCATTTTACTTCGATTCAAAGGAGAAAGAAGACTGAAGGGTGGGTGTAAGGCTTTTTGGCATATTAACTGATACTGGCATTTTGTTTGCAAGTACTCTCAAATATATATTTTCGCTTGTCGTCCCAGTAATCTGTGCTCATCACCATGTGTATCGTATTGTCCTAAATACACTGATTGTATGTGATTGTCGCATATATGCATCTGTGTGTGATTGCACGTACCGTCTCTACTGAACTCTAACTGAGACTCCGTAGTAAGCTGTTTCATGTTTGCCGGCAGTTCTGTCACCACATGACGGCTTTGTGCATCGATACGAGAAGCTGAGGCTCATTAGATTTGCGCACAGCATACCAGAGCATATCAACCACAGCCTGGCAGCAAGAAAGGAGCTCCACAGTAAATTCTCCACGTGGTCAAGGTGAGTGAAGGTCATAACTTTCATGGGTAGTGTATAACTTTGCTCATAGGGTCTATGTCCCCCAGGGTACTATCGGAGGGTACCTACGGTTCGATATATCGGAACGTACCCTGCATGGTAACTATCTGATATGGTTAGGGTTAGGGTTTGGGAGTAGGCGTAGGCGTCTCCGTAGACTCGTTAGTGGAGTAGGCGAGGTACGGTCCAGCATATTAGATAGTACCAGGGTACGTTCCTGTATACCGGACCGTACCCAGGGTACCCTCCGATAGTACCCTGGGGTACATAGACCCTATCAGCTATAACTTTCGACACACCTACCATGCTGCATAATTGTTTGACTTTGGGTTGTGATTAGGGTTAGGTTAGGGTTTGGGTTAGGAAAATTTATTTGGAATTTGATTTACATTCTGAGTAAATAGAGAGAGAAATCAGTGTGGCCGGTGTGTCGAAAGTCACATGGTACTCACTTGCACTATGGTGCCGAATACACTTACAGCTGACTGGTGATTCAGCAGTTTCAGCTTGTAATGGCAGAGGAAATGTACATCATGTGGTATTACCGGTGAGGTAAAGGTCATGTTGAAACACTGGATGGGGTGACATTACAACAATAGTGTAGCCAGGGATTTGGGAGGTCGTGTGTGAAAAGTGATAGGTAAGGCAGGTAGTGTAGCAACAGATGGAAACGGGGCAGTTCACATAGGAAAACTGGGTAAACGGTCTTGTACTTGGTGGTATGGGGGGAGGGGTCATGACACAAATAGACACTTAGCAGGTGTTAGTGGTTTATGAAGGACAGCGGGGGATGAGTTTGGCAAGACTGTGATATTGGATGTGGTTGTTCAATCCTTAATTGCTACCTGTTCCGTAGCTGTTTAGTGTAGATGCTATATAAATACTGGATGGGTGTTATCGGATCGTGAGACATGTGTCATGCACACACACACACACACTGAGTTCTTCTCTAAAGTAAGGGTGCCGGTATTGCATTTCAGGGAGGCATTGCAGCACATGCTTCAAGTAGATGCCCTGCGCAGAGAGCTCAGCACATTAGAGGACATGTTTACTGCCAATGATGGCTCGCTAGACCAGGTAACCGTCACAACAACCTGTTATCCCCTAGACCAGGTAACTACTGCAGCTACCTATTACCCCCTAGACCAGGTAACTACTGCAGCTACCTATTACCCCCTAGACCAGGTAACTACTGCAGCTACCTATTACCCCCTAGACCAGCGCTAACTACTGCCAGCTACACTATTACCCCGCTGACCAGGCTAACTACTGCCAGCCTACCTCATTACCCCCTGAAGGGCTAACTATCTAGCCTCCCAATCAGCCGTACTTAGCCCAGCTGATCCTATTACCCCCTGGACCAGTAACTACTGCAGCTACCTATTAGCCCCCTAGATTCAGGATAACTACCTGCAGCCTACCTGTTACCCCTTATCAAGCGTACTACTGCAAGCTACCTATTACCCCTAGATCAGTAACTTGATCTGCCCAGCCTACCTATTTCCCCTGCGACCAGGTAACTTACTGGCCCACTACCTATTAACCCCTATTATCAGGTAACGTACTGCAGCTACTGTATTACCCCCTTAGACCAGCGTAACTTACTGCAGCTACTATTACCCCCGTAGATCAGGGTAACTACTGCCAGACCTATTTACCGCTAGACAGGTAACTACTGCAGCTATCTATTACCGCCTTAGACAGGTAACTACTGCCAGCTACCTGTTCCCCCTAACCTAGCGTAACTACGTGCAGTACCTATTAACCACTGACCAGGTAACTACTGCAGCTACCTATTACCCCTAGACCAGGTAACTACTGCAGCTACCTATTACCCCCTGGACCAGGCTAACGTACGTGCCAGCTACCTATTACCCTAGATCAGGTACTACTGGCAGCTACCTATTACCCCCTAGATCAGGTAACTACTGCAGCTACCATTACCCCCGTAGACACGCCTAACTACTGCCAGTACCTATACCCCCTAGACCACGGAACTACTGCAGCTACCTATTACCCCCTAGATCTCAGGTAACTACTTGCTAGCGCTACCTATTCACTCCCTAGACAGGTAACTACTGCAGCTACCTATTACCCTTAACCAGGTAACTACGGCAGCCTACCTATGTACCCCTAGACCAGTAAACTACTGCAGCTACCTATTACCCCCTAGATCAGGTAACTACTGCAGCTACCTGTTACCCCTTTAGACCAGCGTAACTACTTGCAGCACCTACCTATTACGCCCTAGACCAGGTAACTACTGCAGCTACCTATTACCCCCTGACCAGGTAACTACTGCAGTCTACCTATTACCCCTGGACCAGGTAACTACTGCCAGCTACCTAATTACCGTAAGATCACGGTAACTACTGCCAGCCTTACCTTATTTTAACCCCCTGGCCGACCAGGTATACTACTGCCAGCCTCTACCTATTTACCCCCTCAGCATCAGGTAACTACTGCAGCCTACCTGGTTACCCCTATATTCACGGTAACTACTGCAAGCTACTTTACCCCCTAGATCAGGCTAAACTACTTGCAGCTACCCTAGTTACCCCGCTGCGACCGGTTAACTACTACAGCTACCTATTACCCCATATCAGCCGTAACTACTGCAGCTACCTAATTACCCCCCTTAGACCAGGTAACTACTGCCCAGTCCTATTACCCCTAGATCAGTAACTACGCGCAGCTACCTATTACCGCACCTAGACCAGGTAACTACTGCAGCTATTATTACCGCCATAGCCAGGTAACTTACTGCAGCTACCTGTCCTTACCCCCTAGACCACGGGTAACTACATGCAGCCTATCCTATTACCACTAGACCAGGCTAACTTACTGCAGCTACTATTACCCCTAGACCAGGTTAACTTACTGCAGCTACCTATTTACCCCCTGGACCAGCGTAACTACTGCCAGCTACACCTATTGACCCCCTAGTCAGGGTAACTACATGCAGCTACTATTACCCCTAGATCAGCGTAACTATCTCAGCTACTATTACCCCTAGATCAGGTAAACTACGCCAGCTACCTATTACCACTAGACCACGTAACTACTGCCAGCTACCTATTACGCCCTGTTTTTTTGTTTTAGACCACGTAACTACGTGCAGCTACCTGTACCCCTAGACAGGTAACTACTTGCAGCTACCTATTACCCTAGACCAGTAACTACTGCCAGCTACCTATTTACCCCCTAGATCAGGTAATTACTGCAGCTACCTATTTACCCCTAGACCAGGTAACTACTGCAGCTACCTATTACCCCCTAGGACCAGGTAACTACTGCAGGCTACCTATTACCCCCTAGACCAGTAACTACTGCAGCTACCTATTACCCCTGGACCAGGTAACTACTGCAGCTACCTATTACCCCTAGATCAGGTAACTACTGCAGCTACCTGATTTACCTGCTAGACCAGGTAACTACTGCCACTACCTATTACCCCCTAGACCGGTTAACTACTGCAGCTTACCTATTACCCCTAGACCAGGTAACTACTGCAGCTACCTGATTACCCCCTGGACCGGTAACTACTGCAGCTACCTTATTACCCCTAGACCAGGTAACTACTGCAGCTACCTATTACCCCCTAGACCAGGTAACTACTGCAGCTACCTATTACCCCCTAGATCA